GATGCCGGTAGGATGGTGTTACTACTGTACCTCTAGCTAGCACTAGAGATCAAATTGCTAGCTGATGCATTGCCAGAGGAGCTTTGTGGCCAAAACCCTGCTGCTGCGAGATCCCCACCCCAAGATGAAGAGCATTGCAGGGCAGGTTGCATCAAGCAACTACTGATAGTTAGTGGCGCTGCGTCATGTGTGAAATCTAGTCACTCCTTCCAGACTTCATATTGCTTGGATTGGTCAAGTGTAACAGTGTAACTACACATTGCCACAACCCTCTACCTAGCTTGCGCGGGAAGAAACCATGGAAGAGAGGCCGGGATCGGACCGTCCGCGGCAACTGATGAAAAGGTCAACACGATTCTATTGCCGTTCGAGGATGGTCCGTTCAAATATCATCTAAGTTGTGTGCAAACCAATAGAGGCGATTCGACGTCCTCCTGATCATATCCTCCTCCAACCCCGGTCCTCCATGGCAAGTGAAAGCTCAGAGAAACAATTGTTTGCGACCATCGAGCAGGTCTGGTCTGTCTTGCAACAATATTTGCAACACATCTTCCCATGGAAAATGACGGGTAGAGGCTTTTGCTGTTGTTTATTTTGCTTCCCGAACCAATCCATCGCTCTCTCGTTCACTAAGCGTTCCACCCTCCGTTTCAATGCACCAGTGTGCTGCATTGCCGACAAATCGATGCAATTGGGATTTCGAGTTGAAATGCAGTTTGCCAACAGAGTGCTTGGAGTCCACATTCTCTGTCTGCTTCCCAGGAGCAACCAATGCCCCCAAATGAACCAAGATTTGAACCGCTGAGTGTGGCAGCTCAAAAATCGAGCATCGTCTACCACGAAAACCAAGCTCTCAATCCCAAACTTGTCGTCGCCACATCATCCGATCGTCTCATTGTCCTCCTGGTTCAAGGCCTTGGCTGCCTTGTCTAAGGAAAACTCCCGTTCATTCTTTGCTCGGAGTTGCAAAAAGTCATAGACATTCAGAACCATTTTTTCACGGGCTGCTTCTGCGGTTGGCTGCTTGTACAGTGAATCAATTCGTTGACCTTCCCATCCTGGAATTGAATGTCCCAATATAAAAGTCTTTCGCTCTCTTTCAGGAAGGGCTCTCTTCCACAATGCCCAGAAGATGTTGACAACAGTTGGTGAATTGAGAAAGTAAATGGCACATTGACTCTTGGGATATGCCAGCATGAGATCCTTTGCCTTTTCCGCCAAGTTGGCATCAAAGTTGTCAAAGGAGGCTCCATCACATTCCCACATTTGTGTGTGACCAATTCGCATGGCTTGGAAGTCGGGGAAGGTCGCTTGCCACCAATAATAACAAGAGCCAATCCATGTTCTCCACTGATCATCTGTCTTGATGGTGGAGGGGTAGAAAGCAGCTCCATCTGTGATGACAAAGTAGTTTTGCTGGTCCGGTAAATACTCTACCGCAAGAAAATTTCCGGGGTGCTGTATTGTGTATTGGTGGAATAGGTCAATTCCTTCTTCGATGGTGTCTGCTATCCGGTACTCTTCCATGAAACATTGCATGAGGAATGCTCGTTGGCAGATGAATTCCAGGGTCTCATCAGCTGTGCATAGTGCATACTGAACACACATGAAATCCGATGGTATGCCTCCAAGGCGTTCATCGTTCTGAAATGCCTCCTTGATCGCCGTTGCTCGATCCAGTTCCGCCTGACTCAACTCCATCAGGTCATTTTGAGGAGGGTTGTCGTTGGAGGCATCGTTGGCGGCATGGTCAGAGCCATGGTCGGAGCCCACATCAGGCATCATGGTGTCGAATCTACTGATGGTTTCAGATGCCAGTAGCCTTTTTCACTTGTTGTGTTATGCTACCGGTACGATGTCCTGATGCCTGATGCAAAGCTACCCACAACTTCAATGCTGGCGCTCCTGATGCTGCAGTTTGCTCGTGACAATGAAGCCCTTCCCACGCTTTACCTTTCGCAGTCAACTCACCACCAACGTATTCATCGCGTGGGAAGTTGAAGTTTCTGAGCTGGTGTTGTCAGGTCGGAAGTTCCGTTCGGAAAGGGAAAGAGAGTGTTAAATATCTAAGCCTTTTTTATTATGCACGATTGACGTCACAACTTCCAAGCTGTTCCAGGTCCCATAAACCTTAAGCTTGTAGAGCTAGTTAAATAACTGGGCGCAAAATCCCTTCTCTCTCTTCTGTTGGCTGACGTGGAGCGCTCGTTGAGACCTTCTCTGCTGACCAGTTCTCCAGTAGGGAACGGCATCAGGAATGCAGTTATGGTAATCCACCCGCCAAGCCCTCGTAGAGCTGGTACAGTTTCTACGGTGGAGAAAAGAAACGACTGAAATCCACTAGTTGTTTGTGAGTGGACAGATTATTGGATTTTCGATGAGAATCCAATCTGAAGATTTAAGCTTACACATGGATTTTGAGTGCCATTTCCCAGGTTTGTATAAGGAGTTAGTTGATTGGAAGTTTTACTCTTCTAGTAGATACTGTGTAAAATCCACTGTTGGATTTTCAGCCGTTTTCTTGAGTGGGAATTGGCGGGTAAAATCCCACTAGTAGTATCGCGATAAACCTACAGTTGGATTTTCCGCCGTTTTTGACCTTTAAGTAATTAAAGGACACAGAAAATAGTCGTTGAAATCAATGAAACACGACTGATTCCACGGTAAAGCGGACACAAAACACAACAACAACGGCGCAACCATGCGAGGACCGATCAACATTGACCATGGCGCTCCTGTTACCATATGGTACGTCTTTTTCCTCGGGCTACTGACAGGTAGATTACACACAAAGATCTCCCGCTTCACTGGCGCCCTTGGCATCGGCTTCAACCTCGGCATCGGCTTCGGCAGTCGGCTTTCGGCCATCCAGGCCTCAGCCTGCCTCGGTTGAGCCTCTGCCTTGGGCTTGAAACCCACGGTCAACCGTGCACCTTCGGCTTTGCCTCAGGTTTGCACGACTGACCTGGATTCCCAGTTCACCGGGAGATTTTTCTACAGGATCAGGTATTATTTCATATGTATTTTGTCTCATAATTACCTGAACTACCAGTATATGTGCTCTTGCAGAACAAGAAGACAGCGCGCTGCATCGCAACGTTTATTGCAACTTACTTATCGTTGTGTCTCCCAATCATCATCCTCTTTCTGACCACGAACAGAGAATGAGGTTGAGGCGACATTGCGGGACCTGTCTTCTTTCTCTGCTTCGCTTCATCATTCATCTACGCAAGACAATCTGTGTGGCTCCATACCACAGTCATCTTTACCTGCCTCCGAACCATTAGCAGAGTGTCATCATGATGGCTGAAACGGATGCTACCTCCACCCAAGATACCTCAACCGATGGTGCCTCCCACCATGCCCCAGCACAGAACGAGTTGATGGAGATTAGTCAGGCGGAACTGGATCGAGCCATGGAGATCAAGGCAGTGTTTGCACAGGATGAACGTCTGAGGGAGATGCCCTCCGACTTCATGTGTGTCCAGTATGCACTCTGCACTGGTGATGAAAGCCTGGAGATTTTGTGTGATCGAGCCTATCTTGTGCAATGTTTCAAAGAAGAGTACAAGATTGCAAATACAGTCGAAGAAGGCATTGATCTCTTCCACCAATACACTCTGCTGCAGCCTGGTAATTTCCTTGCCATGGAATATTTGCCGGACGAGAAAAATTACTTTATCATTGTGGATGCTGCAGCATTCTTCCCCTCAGCCATCAAGACTGACGATCAAGTGAGAACATGGATTGGTTCTACCTTCTATTGGTGGCAAGCCACACTGCCTGATTTCCAAGCAATTCGCAATGGATGGACCCAAATGTTTGAATGCATGGGAGCATCGTTTGACAACTTTGATGCTGCTCTGACTGAAAGAGCCAAAGACTTGATGAAAGCCTACCCAAAAAATCAGCGTGTACTCTACTTTCTCAATTCACCAACAGTGGTGAATATATTCTGGGCGTTGTGGAAGCGGGGACTTCCAGAAAGAGAGGCAAAATCTTTTGTTTTGGGACACAGCATACCAGGATGGGAAGGGGAACGCATTGATAGTCTCTATAAGCAGCCCACAGAGGAAGCAGCAAGAGAAAAGATGATCTTGAATGTCTATGACTTTCTGCAATTACGAATGAAGAATGAACGTGAGTTTTCCTTGGATCGTGCGGCCAATCTTTTGAACGAGCGAAATACCGAAATGTTTGAGGAGAATGGGTCGCAGGCATGATGATTGGCACAGCACGACGGGGATATCACAAGATGTCGTCTTGACGTTGCCTCAGGCCGCACTATTATGTAACAGTATATAAACTGGCTACTAGATTATAACGAACCTCTTCTCAGAAACATGAAAATGAATGGTCAGCAGTCCAAAGGCCACTAAACCTACATCCTCCGCTGCACGGGGAATACCGATAAGCACACCAGAGCTGGTCCGATACACTTGCGCAACCTTTCGGGCACGCTGATGGAAGACTAGCAACAGCGTACACAATGATGCAGGTGCGATTCGATACAGTAGTATGGCCACCCTGAGCTCACCATTGGATCTCTACTTTGCCAAGGCGTGTGACCGTTCGTATTTCTCCATCGTCCATTACGGCAGTTGTCACGACCATTCCTCAACAGCTGGGTAATTGTAACGCCGACATTGGATGCTTGCTTAGTTGTCGTCATTTGCAATTGTGTTTCAGTCATGTTTATTTTTTTCAAGTAGGAAGTAGGAGACCTCTTTGGCTTTCCCTGTACCGACCAGACTTTGAGAGAGGAGGGGTCCATACGCAGTCCACTTCAAACAAAGCCTCCAAGAGGCACACGGACAATCGTACAACGTCCATGTCCCTCTCCGGTGATGGCCATGAAACTGCCCTAGCTGTCGTTATAGCTTGCAGTCGTACTAAGCCCACCGAATGTTGTTGATTGCCTCGCGGAAACTTTCAGCTTCCATCTCAGAAAGATTATTGATGCAAACACCTTGGCTTTTTTGGGCATCTATGGGCATGACAACTTGGTGTTTTCCGGCATTCGGGATGTTGCCGACAACCCAAGCACGCAAAGCAGCCACAGACGCAGCAGGATTTGCCCACCAGGGCCATGGTTCCTCCCCATGGCAGCATGGACAGCTGCTTCGTTGGCAAACATAATTGAAAACTCGTGATCGTCAGGACCAAAAGGGACTTGGCCACTTAGAGTGTTCCTTCCGCCAATGAGGGCGGCATCGAAAAGGTTTCCATAAGTTTAGACAGAGCGTCTGAATCATTTGGGCATAGATGATCCAGATGCTTGCCTTGCATGATTAGTGCTATTGATTCCTAGTTTGTAAGAACAGGCAGCCGTTACGGCTAGTGCCCTCAACCAGAATTGAATAAAAAGCCAAGGGGCTCGAGCAGTTAGCTAGTATTTGCTCCAATGCTATGAGTGATTACAATATCTAACCATGTTCTTTGTTGTCGTTGTTGCCCTGTTGTGGATTCCATGTCTGAGGTTTTGGCGGCAACTCGAATGAAGGTTCATTTTCCGAAGATTTGTAGTAATGAGCAGCTCGACTGGATTGGTCTGCCCAGTACTTAAACCAGCCAGCTTGCCGTTCAAGTTCATTGTAGAGTGGTGCTCCCTTTTATAAATGGCACATGTGATTTTCGTGATAATTGGCTTGAGCATTCCACTGATAATACCGGTGTGTGTAATCAGCGACCTTTTTAGCACGTCCTTTACTCCATTTTCCCATTTCTTGAATCTTTTTTTCCCTTTGTTGTTCTATCTTATCCCAATTTGGATATATAAGGGGGTTTAGAGTAGGGAAATTATCTACGGAAGCCAGCCGGGGCCAGGCTTAATTTGGACGGTGCTCTTAGCTCCATGCTGAAACCTGCTCACGCCAGAAACTAATGTCTTCTGCTTCCAACATCTCATAGTAGTCATTGTAGCGTTGTATTTCAGCCTCGCGTTCGTCAGTTGCCTGTTCAGCACACTTGACAAGTTGCCATCTCAGTCTGTCTGATTTCTGCCTGCCTTGATTCTTCTTCTTTCCATTCAAAGTTGCACCCATCCATTGCTTCCCACTGTGTCACTTCTCCAAAAGCTGGCTGTAGGAATAGATCATTCATTCGTATCTTCTTCTCCAGCTCGGATCTTTGTTCGATGAATCTATTTTCTATTTTTTCCAGCCTCATTTTATGATCCTGTCTTTGCGTTCTCAAAAAGTATATCTGGGACCACTCTCTCCGTTTCCTGTCTCGGTCCTTCCTTTTCCGATTCTCTGATTGTTGCTTTGTTTCCTCCTTACGACTCTTGCACTTCCTTTTTCGGTCGGCTTCCCTTCTTAGGTCTTTCTCCTCTTCTGTCAATCCAGCCCGATGGAAACGCATTCTTTCTCGCTGGGCTTCTAAATCTGCAAGTTCCTGCTCGGTTGTTCTGTTGGCTAACTTCCTCTGTTTGTATATGCGATTGGCCTCAAGTTTCCTATGGTAAACAGGTGTTCCACGTTTGACAGGCATGTTGAAAGCAGCAGTTCCAAGACTATGTATTGATGGACGATGGATGGGATTTGGGCATGAACCCCCAGGGTGGCTGCTACGGCTGCTGGTGTTCTGGTTGTGGAGGGG